GCTCAAACCGGCGTACCACTCACGAGCCTGCTGGACCAGAAGAGGGCACGGCTGCTGCACCTGTCCACTACCTGAGCCTCCCGAACGACGGACGCCAGAGCGACTACCACTACGGCCACCCCGACTGCTCAAACCGGCGTACCACTCACGAGCCTGCTGGACCAGAAGAGGGCACGGCTGCTGCACCTGTCCACTACCTGAGCCTCCCGAACGACGGACGCCAGAGCGACTACCACTACGGCCACCTCGATAGCCCCAACTGGCGTACCACTCACGAGCCTGCTGGAGCGTGAGGGACTCACGCGCACGGTCCTGTGGCTGCATCTGGCCACGTCAGGAGCAGCAGGAGTAGCGGGAGTGGGAGTAGAAACGGCAGTAGTAGCAGTAGCAGCGGTAGCAGTGCTGGCAGGGCAATGCTCACCAGTGGTCGGCGTGGCAGGCGCAGTAGGAAGCTCCGCGGCAGCTGCTGCAGAGCTAGACCGGGCTACGGCGGCAGTTGCTCCAGGGGCGGCTGCTGCAGGTGCGGGCGGCTCCAGGGGCGGCTGCTGCAGTGGTGGGCGGCTCCAGTGGTTGCTGACGCAGTGGCGGGCGGCTGCAGGGGCTGCTGCTGCAGTGGCGGCGGCTCCAGGGGCTGCTACTGCAGTGGCGGCTGCTCCAGGGGCGAGAGGCGGATTAGGGTTAGGTGGCGACGGCGCGGGCAGGGCGACGCGGCGGGCAGGTGGCGACGCCGCGGGCAGGGCGACGGATTAGGGTTTGGTGGCGACGGCGCGGGCAGGTCGACGCGGCGGGCAGGTGGCGACGCCGCGGGCAGGTCGACGCGGCGAGGAGGTGGCGACGCCGCGTGCATGTGGCGCGGGCAGGCGACGACTCCGCGGGCAGGTGGCGACGCCGCGACGACGCCGCGGGCAGGCGACGTCTCCGCGGGCAGGCGACGGCGCCGCGGGCAGGGATCGACGTCGCGGGCAGGCGGCTTCGACGCGGGCAGGCGACGACGCCGCGGAGAGGCGGCGACGCTGCGGGCAGAGCGACGCGGCGGCCGGCTAGGGCCTGCAGGGGCGGCGCGCGTGGCCTGACGGGTCTGCAGGGGCGGCTCTCGGGCCTGACGGGCCTGTAGCGGCGGCTCGGGGGCCTGACGGGCCTGCAGCGGCGACTCGGGTGCCTGACGTGCCTGTAGCGGCGGCTCAGGTGCCTGACAGGCCTGCAGCGACGGCTCGGTGGCCTGACGGACCTGCAGGGGCAGCTCGAGGGCGCACGAGGGCGCACGAGGGCGCACGAAGGCGCACAAGGAGAGAAAGGCGCACGAGGGCGCACGTAGGGTAGGGCGCACGAGGGCGCACGTAGGGTAGGGCGCACGAGAGCGCGTAGGCGCAAGAGGCGCACGGTAGGTAGGTAGGTAGGTAGCGGTGGGCCCTAAGAGCGGTCCTAGCGATGGACCTGCTCTGATACCATGTCAGAATAACTGAGCAGGAATGGGATGAACTAGCACAGAGTTTGGTACAAGTAGGAAACCCTAACTTTGAGTACCCCCTAAGGTGTAACCCACTACAGCCTACATAATATAAACATGCAATGTTTGACATAACTGGGATGATACACTATACAGTCAGAGAAATATGTTCCGCACCCTTTTTGGCCTAGGGTAAAAACTCCACTACCCTGCTTATGAAAGGGTAACTGAAAAAAAGTGGTTGCCAGTCAGTGCAAAAAGGGTATTTTACCCTGATAACGAGAGGCCTGCTGAGGGGTATTACACACTAAAAAGCGGGGTGAGCTAGGAAAGTAGTACTGATACCAAGCGTTTTCGGTTGTACCAAATAGAGTGCGCGAAAGACTTATAAAAAGGCTGTGATTACAGAATTCCAATATAATGAAGAAAGCAAGCATTTATATGGCGGAAACCGTGCTAGGCGAGGGCCTCGGGACGTGTGTGGATTGCGGATGTCGCGATTGGTGCGGAGCAACTCGGAATGTGGTTCGGGCCGAAGTGTAGGGCAAACCCAAACTGACGCAAAGTGTTCGGGCTGTCCTCGCTAGGAGCAGGCTCTGCAATAATGAATTCTAATCCATTACATACACCCAGTGTGCGCACCCACATCTGGATGGTTACCCGATTTGCCCTGGTGGGTTTTGGGAAAATGCGGGAAGCACATACTGTAGCGAGATGAAGTCTAGATGTTCGCAATTCGTTGTCAATACTGTATCAAATCCGTACGCACCTACACCTGATGCTCACCTATTGCATGCGCATTTGCTCTGTCCAAACTGAATAGACTGCCCAATTACATTTGGGATTGGCCAATTGCACGCACGGTACAAGCCCAATCCTTTTATCGGAGCCGAAGCTAGGCGAGGCGTGCAAAAAGCATGTGCTCACTACATATCCTTTTGAGAGGTATAGGTTGTGCGCGTCTAATGAGCAGCATGTGTATTGCCTTCAAGAGAAAGGATCACATTTTTGCTATGTACTGTACACCAAGTGTGTGGACTGTGCACCCGCACCTGGATGGTTACCCGATTTGCCCTGCTGGGTTTCGGGAAAGCGAGGGAAGCACATACTTTAGCGAGATGAAGTCCATCCACAGGAGGAAGAAATTGATTCGCCCAGCTTGGGCCAACTTTCGGGTGAAGCTCGAGAAGAAGCCATTTCCAGCACAAGCGAGAAACTCACCTTTTTTTAGGGACTAGAAAAAAGATGACCGACCATCGAGGCGTCTGCTAGTTCTCTCGCGGTGCTACCTGGAGGGCCGATAGGGCCTACCAAGAGCCAAGATTGCGACAACTTCTCAATGGCTCGTTAATCGCGGGGGTAGAGCATTTACCGCTCCCAATGTCACGCGTACATGAGCCCATGCGATTTCATTTCAGACCCTCCTTCCCGTCACTTCTTGCAACGTATTATCAAGTGCGGAATGCTCACCGCATAGCCGTCAATCTCTCCTCTCTTGCGCGTGGACGGTAAGACGCGCGTAAACTCCCCACCGCATCTCCTCTCCGTCGCATCTCCCAGTCGCATCTCCCCGTCGCATCTCCTCCCCGTCGCATCTCCCCTCGCATCTCCCCGTCCCATCCCCCCGTCGCATCTCCTCCCCGTCGCATCTCCGCGCCGTCGTATCTCGCATCTGCTCGTCGCATCTCCTTCTCGTCGCATCTCCTCCTTGTCGCATCTCCGCCCCTCATAGACTATCCATCGCCTCTCATTTTGCCTCACCGTCGTCTCGTAGCCCCGTCGTCTCCTCCTCGTCTCTCCTCCTCGTCGTCCGTCATCTCTCCCCCTCGTCGTCTCCTCCTCCTCCTCGTCTCTCCCCCCCGTCGTCCTCCTCCCCATCGTCCTCCTCCCCTTCATCCTCCTCCCCGTCGTACTCTTCCCCGTCGTCTCTCCCCCCCGTCGTCTCCCCGTCGTCTCTTCCCCCATCGTCTCCCCGTCGTCTCTCCTCCTCGTCGTTCCTCCACCCTGTCAAATACCCCGTCTCAATTCCCCTCTCATTCCTCCTCCATCCCTTTCCCCCCCTCCTTCCTCCCCCTCTATTCCTCCCTTCCTCCCCACCTCCCTTCTTCCGCTCCTCCATTAATCCCTTCCTCCCCTTCTCTCTGCCTCCCTTGCCACCCATGCTCCCTTCATCCGTTGCTCCCTCCAGCCATTTCTCCCATACGCCCCTCTATCGCTTCCCCACCTATCTGCCACCCTTCCTCCTTTTCCCCCTATCCTCCCGGCCTCCCATCCTTCCTTCCTCCCCTTCTCCCCATCCAGGGCGGTTTAGTTAAAAGACAAGATGGTTGAGTAGGGTTTTCTACGAATACGTACATTGTTAAACCCGCCCTTACTACCTCGCCCACTACGCGACTTGCTCCCTTCCTTTATTCCACCACTACCCTCCGCCTTTCATCCCGTTCGCCGTGCTGCCCTTCCTCTCGAGTGCTCTACTTTGGGAGGCGCCAATAAACAATATAATTACTGTAGTCAGGTGTACTCTAAAAATACCCTATTATTTATACAATTTAGGGCATTTGTCGGTACATTATTGCAGCCAACATTTAATAATATTGCCCTAAAATCCGTTTTTGCCTATTCATAAAAGGGCCCAATAAGTATCAATTAGACACATCAATTACAATGTCAGTTAGCAGCATCAACCATGCTACTCTATCGCCAGCTAGAACTCACTTCTACCTGAACTAGGACTCCTAAGGGCCTATTAGGTAAGATCACCAACTCATAGCCCTCCACCAAGATCTTAATCACAGGGCTCATGTTGAAGCCAGCAGGGGGCCTGGGGTCCCAGATAGCCACATCCCCAGCGTCATAGGTTGCATAAGTCCAAACAACAAACAACATTTTGGCGGTTCACTGCCTCAGCAGTGTCCAGTGCAGGGTTCAGACGGGGCCACTCCATATGCACTTGCAACAGGCATACATGGTTTAGTTAGTATTTTCTTTAACTGACAAACACATTTAGGCAGAAAGGAATAACATGCACTCACCACGTTGGACACATAGTCCACAATGGGGATCTTCACAGGCAGCGTGGTTGCATGCTTCCTTGCAAGCCCACGAAGGAGAGCCAGCTGGAACGGGCGGATGGCAAACGGGCGGTTGGTTATTGGGTCGAAATGCCAAATTGCTCCAAGACCGTAGACAGCTGCGAAACCAGTGCACGGAAAACGAGTATAAGTATACAGATACTACCTTAGTCAGTAAGGAATACAACATCCGACCAAAACATGACGAGGTGTCACTTACGATGTTAATAAAATCGACACCAATTCAAAGGGGGCCGTGGCATGGACGGCGCGACATTTTCCTTTGCGAGAATCTTCCACTTCGTCTCCGGAACGCACTCACAAGGGCCTTTCCCATAGAGCTTCACGTCAGCGTTCACGTTCGAACGCTTCTCCGAAACCTTGCGCATTGCCAGCGCCTCTTTGTTGGGGTCGTTGCTAATGACGTAGAAAAATAAGTCAGAATGCACGCCAGCGTTCTCGTACTTCATACGCACTACCTCTTAAAACTCCGCCCACTCGGTGTAGGCGCATCCAACAACAGGTACGGGATTGCCTCGGTCACTTTTCTTTGAAGGTAAGGGGTGGGAACAAACACGCATACGAGATATAAGAAGGATGTTAGCGTAGGGTTCTTGAAAGAAAGTGGATGACAAACAAATACATTTAAAAGCCACAAGCGTGAAAAACGCGAACCGAAAAAGCGGCTTACTCCAAAATGCTGATCATGACTAACAAGGGTGTTGATTATGAGAGCATCGCCATCGCGTGTGATCCATTTCAGGTTGATAGAAGGAGTGAGCTAACGCGGGGAACCGACGACTCCCGTTGCCTGAGCAGCGGACAGATTCTGAATGAGCTGTTCGTTCAGGCGGATGGCCACCTCAGCGTCATGCTTCGAGAGGAAGTTCGACAACTCCTCTCGCGCTCTTGTGTTCGCCGCAGGGTTTTTCGGAGGTCATCAATCCGACCTTGCAGGCGAAACCCCTCAACAGCCGCTGCGCGACTGATGCCGCGTTGAGTTGAGTCATTGCAGGTGTGATTTCGGTGGTCGCGGCGACTGGACTTGAAATTGCACCAGTTGCACGAGCAGTAGATCCAACACTTCCAGCGAGCGGCATAGGGCTGTGAGATGCGGCGGCCAATGCGGTTACGGCGGCATCCATGACAGCCACCATAGAGGCCAGCGTAGTTTCCGGTGCGGTGGCAGCAGCTGTTGACGATGGCCCGGCACCGTCGCTAGGGTTTACTAAGATGGTGCTAAGACGACCGTTCTTCTTGAGCTGTTGCATGTCCCCCAACATCTCGTCTAGGTTCAGCTCATCCTCGCTGTCACCTTCCTCCTCATCATGGAGATCCCTCTGGAGATGACTTGGTATCATTGGTGCTGTAAATCCCAGCGCAATTGCGCGGAGCTGTGTCGTGGAGGTCTACTCGGTCGTCATCTATGGCTTCGACTAGCACTGAGGACGTGATCTATGTCGGTGCCATGGTTGTTCAGGAGCTCTGCTGGTTGACCTTCTTTCTTACTAGCCTAGGTGAGCGGCCTAGCTCTGCACCGATTTTGTTCGCTGACAACAAGTTCATGATCCTCCCGTGAGCCTCGACTGGAGGGCACAGTGAAGCATATGGGTCTGCAGTACTTCCTTTTGCGAGAGCTGCAACGACGCGGCCAGGCACGCTTTGCTTGGACTTTGTGGCTTCAACGGCCAACACTGCAGACATCTTCACCAAGGCTCTTTCGCCTGGTGATCACCAACTTGTCCTTGTTCATACAGGCTCTCGTTTGTTGTAGACTTGCCTCTCCTTTCTTGCTCTACTTGTTTTGCTATTTATATATACACATGTGAACTCTTGAACCGTCTTTGTGACCATTTGTCTCAGAGGCTGACTAGTCGTACAACCGTGAGTTGCTTGTTGAGAAAACTAGCAAGAATGATAGAAACTAGAATGAGTCAGGATACAAGTAGAAACCCTAGAAAGTGTTGTACCCTATGTAAGCTATCCCACTGTCGAGATAGTAGGTATGCTGAGGAGCCATAGCTAGGGTTTACCTAGCTAGGCAAGAGAGAAATGAGCAAAGGAGGGTTTGCACTAGCAACAATGGTGGTACAAATAGCTAACCCTAGAAGGGTTGTACTCGCTATAGAGCACCCCACTGCAGGCTAGAGCATAATATTCTGACACACCCCCATAGTCAAAGTGGGGTGTAATCAGCAGAGCAAGCAAAGCAGTACAAGCTCAGGGTGGATCACGATGTCACCACACATTCTGAGCACAAGCAAGAAGCAATAGTTTAAGGTTCACAATTATGAGCAAAGCTAGAGGCAGTCACAGGGGGCAAGTGAGGAGGAGGAGGGCTGGCGAGAGGAGTGTAGATAGGAGGCGACGACTGAAGCTGCAGACACACGGGCAACAGACGGCTCTGGTGCGACAACGTGGCTACCGGGAATGAGTGCCCCGGAGTACAGGAGTAACAGGCTCCGCGGCTAATATGCGCGGCAGGAGCAACGGACCCACAGGCGACGGCGCAACCGGCTCTCTGAGCTACCGGGAATGAGTGCCCCGGAGTACAGGCGCTGCGTACAACACGACGGCAACCTCCGCTCAACCTCCCCCTGCCAGTCCCACACCCCTCGACACACACCCTCTGCTTCAAACCCTAGCTAGCTCCACTCCCACGGTACCCCCCTTAAACCCCAAACCCTAGGCTCCCACACACCACCCCCCTCAGCGGCAGCTGTAGCAGAGGGAGACTAGGGAGGAGGAGGAGCAGGGGGAGGAACTCACAACCGACACCCCCATAGTCGCCACCCCCACACTCCTCACCCCCAAACCCTAAAACGGGCGGAACGGGGGAAGGAGCGCGGGGGACGGCGAGGGGGACGGCGCGCGGCCCCCAGGACGCCACCACGGGGCAGCGAGGGGCCGCGCGCGGCTCCTTAGGGCGCCGCGAAGGGGCAGCGGGGGGTCGCGCGCGGCTCCCCAGGGCGGCGCGACGGGAAATCGGGGGCCGCGCGCGGCTCCCCAGGGCGTCGCGGCCGTCGACGGGGCAGCGGGGGGTCGCGCGCGGCTCCCCAGGGCGGCGCGACGGCGAATCGGGGCAGCGGGGGGCCGCGCGCGGCTCCCCAGGGCGGCGCGACGGGAAATCGTGGTTGGGGGGGGGCGCGCGCGGCTCCCCAGGACGTCGCAACGGAAAGGGCGGGGGCGCGCGGGGTCCCCCACGGTAGGAAACCGCCGCGCGCCTCGGGGCGCACGGCGGGGAGAAAACCGCCGCACGCCCCGAGCGCGCGGCGGGATGAAAAATCCGTCGCACGCCACGGGGCGTGCGACACAGACAGTAGTAGGAGCAGCGGAAGACTAAGGTGGTGGGGCCCACCCACAGGATCGACCCAACAGGATCGTCCTGCTCTGATACCATGTCGTAATAGTAGGTATACTGAGGAGCCATAGCTAGGGTTTACCTAGCTAGGCAAGAGAGAAATGAGCAAAGGAGGGTTTGCACTAGCAACAATGGTGGTACAAATAGCTAACCCTAGAAGGGTTGTACTCGCTATAGAGCACCCCACTGCAGGCTAGAGCATAATATTCTGACACCCACTACAGCCTACAAATAACAAAGAGCATAATAGTTTGACACACCCCCATAGGCAAAGTGGGGGAGAACAAGTGGTCACAAGACCAGTCAAGAAAAACAAAGCAAGCTCAGTGTGGGTCATGACGTCACCAGACATTCCGAGCACAATCAAAAGGCCACATGGCCAGTTCACATGCATAGTTATATAAGAGAGAGCAAACAGTACAGTGATCACTACCTAGCAAGTGTAAGCATGCAGGTATTTATAAAGATCACAGCACTGGCAAAGTCAAGCAGTGAGCAAGTGAGAGAACGTAGGCACGAGGCCTAAAGCAGTGCAGTGACGCTGATGATCACTAGGCGGAAGTGCCTTGGTGAATATATCAGCTGTGTTGGCCCGCGTGTCCACGTAAGCAAGACGAAGCTGACCACGCTGCTGCAACTCTCGAGCAAGGAAGTAATGCAGAGCGATGTGCTTCGTTCTGTGCTCCAGTCTGTGCTCCTGACACAAGGTGAGGGCACCCTTGTTGTCGACGTACAGAACTGGAGGAGAACGAGGCCGCTCTCCCAAGTCAATCAGCAGGTAGGTGAGCTAGCGTAACTCCTGTGCAGCCATGGCTGCAGCATAGATCTCAGCGTCAAAACTGAGCTGAGAACAGAAGACGAACGGGTAGACCGCCAAGAGACAGAACCGGAACCAAGGCTGAAGGTGTAACCCTGTGACGATCGCTGCGTAGCCAGGTCGTCAACCCAAGAGGCGTCTGAGTGTCCAGTGAGGACAACGTCACCCCGTCCTCCAAGCACCAGCCCCATGCCTGATGTACTGCACAAGTAGCGCAGCACCCTCTTAGCAGCCTCCCAATGCTCTCGCCGGTGTCTCCCAGGCGCAACGTAGCGAGCTAGGATGCTAAGAGGGTACGCAAGGTCAGGTCGAATGCAGGTCATCAGGTACATGAGGCAGCCCACAAGCTCTGGATACGGGCCACTTGGCTCTACGGACTCGTCCGAAGGTGGAGCTGAGAGCAAGTGGCGTGTAGACATAGGGGTGGACTGTGGTGAGGAATACTGGAAGCCGAAGCGCTGAAGGACCTGCTACACCATGTGTGACTGAGTCAGGGTAATGGTGCGGCGTGCTCTGTCCCGGGTAATCTGCAAGCCAAGGTAGCTGCGCAGTTCACCCAGGTCTGTGCACGTGTGTCTCTTCTGCAGCTCCGACTTCACAAGGGCAAGTGCCTCAGTGTCAGCAGTGGCAAAGACCAAGTCGTTGACGTACACGAGGATGTAGAACGGCGGCAGCGAAGTGTTGGTGCGCAGAAACAGCGACGGGTCAGCAGTGGAAGGAGCAAACCCAAGAGCCGCAAGTGTCGTCCTCAGTGCCACTCACGAGGTGCCTGGCGGAGACCGTAGACTGGCCGCCGGAGGCTCCACTGGGTACCAGGAGGGAACGACCCAGTGAAGCCAGGTGGGCGGCGCAGCGAGATCTCCTCGTGCAGGCTGCCCTGTAAGAAGGCTGTGCTGAAGTCAAGAGAGTGAAGCTCGTAGTCACGCTGAGCGGCAATGTGCAGCAGCACCCAAAGAGTGGTCATCTTCGGGGTAGGGGAGAAGGTCTGGAAGTAGTCAACTCCCTGTCGCTGACTGAAGCCTCGTGCGACGTAACGAGCCTTGAAGACAGGCGGAAAACCCGGCGGCCGCTTCACCCTGAAAATCCACATGCCATCGACTATGTTCGCCCCAGGAGGGGGAACCTCGTCGACGTAGGTGTCTGTGGACTTCCAGGATGCCATCTCTGCGTCCATGGCTTTCTGCCACTGAGAGGAGTAGGGACCCGAGATCGCCTCTGCGTAAGAGCGCGGGGTCGGGATGTCTAGTGCATCCGGGTCTCCCTCAGGTGCAAGCAGCCAGGCCACGAGATGAGGTACAGCAGCCGCAAGAGACTCAAAGTCCTCCTGCCTGTCCTCAAGGACGTCCGTGCCAAGAGCACACTCACCCCCGATGGACGGAGGACAGACAGGCTCAGACTCAGCAACAAGACTGGCGGCGTAGTCTAGACGACACGCAGCAGCAAAGTCGAGAAGTTCAGCAACTAAGGCAGACGCAGCAGTAGACTCAAATGACGGGTCAGTGACAACAGTAGCCAGGAGACGCGTGACTGTGGGGCTAGCAGCACGAACACGGTCAGACTCAGGGTCAGGAAGCTTAGGAAGAGAGGACGCAGGAGGAGACGGCAGAGGGACGCGCTGTGGAGCAGAGGAAGGACGAAGTGCCATAGTGTGAGTGCCTGGCACAGGAGGAGGACGCGGACGCGGGACACGACGAGCGGTGCGAACAGCGCGAACAGGGGAGACAGGACGAGACGCAGGCTCACGACGCTCTGTAAGGGAGACCGGCTGCTCAGTGTAACGAGACGGGGCAGGCAGCGGCGAGCCAGGAGGAAGGGCAGTGGACGAAGGAAGACTAAGAACCTGGCGGAGCACCGACTCGGGCGGAAGCTCAGACAGCTGCGGCGGCGGCTCGAAGAACGGTCGCTGCTGCACAGGGCCTCCAGCTCCAGCACCTCTAGCGCTAGCACCGCCAGCTCCAGTAATGCCAGCACCAACGCCGCCAGGGGCAGCGCCTCCAGCTCCAGTAGCGCCAACGTCGGGACCTCCAGTTCCAGCACCTCCAGCATCAGGACCTCCAGCTCCAGCACCTCCAGTGTCAGGACCTCCAGCTCCAGTGCCTCTAGCGCCAGCACCTCCAGCGTCAGGACCTCCAGCTCCAGCACCTCCAGCGTCAGGACCTCCAGCTCCAGCGCCTCCAGCGCCAGCGCCACCAGCTCCAGTACCTCCTGCTACAGCACCAGCGCCACCAGCGACAACAACTCCAGCTCCAGTGCCTCCAGCTCCAGAACCTCCAGCTCCAGTGCCTCCAGCAACACCACGACTCCGGAGACGGGTGCGCCGGGCAAACCACTTGCGCAACTACTGAGGTGAGAGGGGCGCACCCTGAGAAGACCGCTGCGGCGAGGCTCCCGGAAGACCCCCTGCAGCAGTAGCACCACCAGGCTCAGCACCCCCAGAAGCAGCACCCTTAGAAGCAGCAACCTCAGGCTCAGCACCCCCAGGCTCAGCACCCCCAGGCTCAGCACCCCCAGGCTCCGCACGCACAGGCTTAGCGCCCCCAGGCTCCGCACGCACGAGCTCAGCACCCGGAGGGGGACCTAGAGCGAAGAAGAGCGGCGGGGGGGGGAGAGGGGCAGTGCGGTAGGGGAAGAGACGGTAAAAGGGAACCGACTCGTCAAACGTGACGTCCTGAGAGGAGAAGATACGGCGCGAGGTGGGGTGGTAAAACTGCCAGCCAGGCGCGTCAGGGGGAAAGCCAAGGAAGACGCAGGGAATGGCGCGAGAGGAGAGCTTGTCCGCGGTGGTATCGCGGACAAAGGCACGAGAGCCCCAGACTCGAAACCGCGACGCATCGCCAACCTCCCCCGTCCAACGCAGTGTGGGCAAGGTCTCCGGCAAGGAGACACGGGGCCAGAGGTTGAGCTGATGCGCGGCGTACCGGACCGCAAACGGCCACAGAAAATGGGGAGCAGCCGCATGGATCATGGAGGTACGAGCCACCTCCATGACTAAGCCAATGCGGCGCTCAGCAACCCCATTCTGCTGCGGAGAGGCTGGAAGCGTGAACGACTGGGTGATGCCCTCCCCCTGACAAAAGTCCCGTAAGAGGTCGGAGGAGAACTCACCACCTCTGTCAAAGTGCAGACGCAGGACGGGAAGGTCCGTGCGGAACCGCTCGCGGAGCTGGAGACGTACAGCGCGGATCCAAGGGATCAAAACAGCAGGGACTTCACCCTTGCTGCGCAAGGGGAAGACCGTGGTGTAACGCGAGTAGTCATCAACAACCAGCAGAAAGTACCGCTCGCGGCCCTGTCCCTGGATGCGGGCTGGGCCCCACACGTCCATGTGGAGGGTCTGCAGGGGAGCAGTCGTCAGGGGAAACGAGGAGGAGTGAGGAGCGGCGCGCTGCCGCCCCTCGACGCACGGAACACAGGGCGGGGCAGGCGAGGGTGGGAGGGAAGGCAGAGACCTGGGAAGACCAGTGACAAGGAGGCGGGAGTGCATGCCACGAAGGCGTGGCAGGGAGGGGTGACCAAGGCGGTGGTGCCAAAGGAGAGTCTGGTGCGACAGGTGACGACACTCACAGGGGGAAGCTACCTGACCTGACGCAGCCACCTGACCAGACGCAGCAACCTGAGGAGGCGCAGTAGTCAGTGTGTACAGACTCGATCTAGGCCGATGGGTGAACGTGGCCAGGTGACGGCCAGTCCGAGAGCACGTACAGATCGCCACACGTTGCCGTCCAGGGATGAAGGCATCAACCCCTGCATCCTGAAGGACAGTGATGCTCACCAAGTTCATCGAGAACGAGGGGAGGTGGAGACCTGACAGCGAGCCGGACGGAACCGCCGGACACGGGAGCACAGTGGAGAAGCGTGCAAGCACTGGACCCCCAGAGGGGTCAGCCAGGGAAACCACAATGGGTCTAGGGAGCGGTGTGAGTGTGGTACTGTCGCGAAAGAAACAGCGGGAAGCACCTGAGTCAAGAGTGAAGGTGTGCAAGGCCTCAGCAGGCGCAGTACCAGAGAGAGCAGACTCACTAGCACCTAGAGCAGCAGCCTCTATACCTGGGTCGGGCGGCACACACAAGTAACAGTCACCCTCAGCACTAACAGTCAACGCATACATAGCATTAAGGATAGCATCATAGTCAACAGTATAGATATCAACTCCAGACCTAAGCAGCTCCGCCCAGCGGGGGATCTCAGCCTCCTCGCCAAACTCAGTGCGCCAAGCGTCCTCTAGGCGGGAGAAGCAGCGGTTCTGGGTGTGGAACTTCCCGCACGTCAGACCAGCGCGGTTACCTGTGCGAATGACGTACGGGCAGCGAGCACTACCCCCAGACGCCCCACGCTGAGCAAACCACTCACGAAGCTGCTGGGGCGTGAGCTTCTCCCGTGGACTGCTGCTGCTGCTGCTGCTGCTAGTGCTGACCTGCTCCAGCCCGACCACCACCACTGCCGCTGGTGCCGCCACCACTCCCTCCGCCGCCACTACCGCCGCCACCACTCCCACTGCCACCGCGAGCACCACCACCGCCACTCCCGCCGCTGCCGCCACCGCCGCCACCGCCCCCACTCCCACCACCACTCCCGCCGCCACCGCCACCTCCGCCGCCTCCACCGCCACCTCCACCGCCTCCACCGCCTCCACCACCACCTCCTCCGCTGCCACCTCCACCACCCCTGCGGCCCTTTCCCTTGCCGCTGCGACGCTTCGCACCAGGCGCGGAAGCAGCACCGACCTCCTCAGCACCAAGGAAGTCGACAGCAGCAGCAGTAGCAACTGAGGGGGCAAGGGGGAGGGGGAGCAACCCTCAAAGAAGGACGTGCGAGGGGCGCCACGAGTAGCACCTACAGCGACTGCACTAGTCTCAGCTACAAGCAGTTGCTTCTCGAGGAGGTCAATGGTGAGCTCAGTGGGGCGCAAGAAAGTGGCCCCTAGCTGCACGAAGAGAGTCAGGAAGGCGAGTGACAATGAAGTAGAGAGTGAGGTGGATCGGGGGCTCGTTCTTGGCGAGGAACTCGTCTGGGGTGGCAGCACGGTAGCGATCGTACATGGTGCGGAGGTGGGTAATGAGGTCCTCTACAGTGGCAAAGGACGACAGCTTGGGAAACAGGTAGGGCAGGATAAGGCGGCCAAAAGCTGCTGTGGCAGGCGAGGAGTAGCGAGCGACTACTGCGTCGAAAAGGGCTTTAGCGGTCTTATGCTGGCCAAAGTGAGCGCGTTCAGTTGTCGGTAAGTGGTTGCGAACGGCTAGGCGAGCGGCAGCGTCACGGGAAAGCCACTGTGAGCGAGTGGTACTGTGAGCAGTGTCGGGAGGGGCAGTAGAGGCTCCAGAAGTGTGGTCAAAGAGGGAAACACCGTCCTTAATATCGCTCAGCAAGTAGAGCTTTAAGTCATCAAGCCACGTCTCAAACTGAAGAGGACGGCCCTCAAAATCGAACTCGAGAACATCGAGGGAAGCCGTAGCGAGCAGTACGGGTAGGCAGGGGCGGCACGCAGCTGGCAAGGCGGCACGCGGCAAGGTAGAGGCAGCGCGAGGGCTGCAAAGGCTAGGCGCGAGAGGCAGGGCAGAGGCAACGCGAGGGCTGCTGAGGCTGCGCAAAGGCTGCAAGGGCGGCGCGCGGGGCAGGGCAGAGGCAGCGCGAGGGCTACTGAAGCTGCGCGAGCAAGGGTGGCGCGCGGGCTGCTGGGGCGGCGCGCGGGCTGCAGGGGCGGCGCGCGGGGCAGGCGAAGCGGCGCTCGGGGCTGCCGGGGCTGCGCGCGGGGCAGGAGAAGCAGCGCGCAGGCTGCAGGGGCCACGCGCGGGGCAGGAGGAGCAGCGCGCGGCCTGCAGAGGCGGCGCGCGGGGCTGCTAAGGGGCCGCGAGGGGCAGGAGAAGCAGCGCGCGGGCTGCAGGGGCCGCGCGCGGGGCAGGAGAAGCAGCGCACGGGCTGCTGGGGCGGCGCGCGGGGCTGCTAAGGGGCCACGCGCGAGCGGCGCAGGCGTCGCGCGGGGCAGCACGGGCGGCGCGCGATATAGCAGAGGCAGCGCGCGTAGCTGCAAGGGAGGCGCGCGAGCTGCAGCGGCGGCACGCGCGGGCGGTACAGGGCAGGGTAGGGCGTGGGGTAACGCGGTAACTGGTGGGCCCTAAGAGAAACGGTCCTACGGACCTACTGCTCTTATAGCATGTTGAGAAAACTAGCCAAGAATGAATGAAACTAGAATGAGTTGGGATACAAATAGAAACCCTAGAAAGTGTTGTACCCCATGTAAGCTACCCCACTACAACCTACAAACAACAAAGAGCATAATAATTTGACATTGCTTGCATTGGCTTGTTGCTTTCCTTGACTGGTCATGTGACTGCTTATGTCTCTTTCTCGTTTTGTTGCCTCTCATTTAGCCTATATAGCCTCAAACAAGTGCATGTTATGCTACTGTGAGGTACACGGTAGGGAGTACAACACTTTTAGGGTTGTCTACCATAATTGTATTGTATCCCAACCCACCCAACCCTTGCTAGTCCAATCATTCCACTATTCACATTCTAACACAATGGCACTAAAATTACCTCAAGTCGTTTATAGCCCAGCAGCTGCTGTGCTTACATCACAGACTACCAGGTGGTATTTTTGTAAGGGAATTCTGATTATTATGTGTACCCGTCAATACACTTGCATAACCAGAACATGGCTCATTTGTCCATGCTGGTTACTGTACACCACAGAACCCAGATTGGATTAATCAATTTGAGTATTGCCCTGCACTCGTCGCTAGTCATGTTCAATTTTCATTTGACTCAAAGCGGTCAAACAGAGGCTTGGGGATGGTGTGTGAAACGTTGTTGAACGGAATTTCCAGGTCCAGTGCATAAAGCTTCTTCACCCGCTCGTATGTTTCCTGCAGCGGGTGCACAAAACAAACAAGACCGCACATGAGTCGACTCTAAGTCACCTCGTATCCACGGAGAAAATGCAGAGGCGCTAATGTATACAACAAAGAGGCAGGCAAGGCATGGAACTTACTTTATCACACATCTTCACTTACTTTATCGTACATCTTCACTTACTTGATCATACATCTTCACTTACTTTATCATACATCTTGACTTACTTCATCATACAGGTTCACTTACTTTATCATACATCTTCACTAACTTCTCGTCGGCGCGGGTCTGGTGCGCGTTGACGCCGAAGTTGAAGATGTCGAGATGGTCGCCTCCGAATCGGTTCACCACATACTTGGCATCCTCCTCCAGATTCTCAAACCGCCCCACAAAGTCGTACTTTATCAGCCCCAGCGCGCACACGTCCCTCTGCACACATGCATGGGAGCAGATGTGTGGGTACATACATGCATGCACACATGCATGGGAGCAGATGTGTGGGTACATACATGCATGCACACATGCATGGGAGCAGATGTGTGGGTACATACATGCATGCACACATGCATGGGAGCAGATGTGTGGGTACATACATGCATGCACACATGCATGGGAGCAGATGTGTGGGTACATACATGCATGCACACATGCAGGGAGCAGATGTGTGGGTACATACATGCATGCACACATGCATGGGAGCAGATGTGTGGGTACATACATGCATGCACACATGCAGGGAGCAGATGTGTGGGTACATACATGCATGCACACATGCAGGGAGCAGATGTGTAGGTACATACATGCATGCACACATGCATGGGAGCAGATGCGTGGGTACATACATGCATGCACACATGCATGGGAGCAGATGTGTGGGTACATACATGCATGCACACATGCAGGGAGCAGATGTGTGGGTACATACATGCATGCACACATGCAGGGAGCAGATACACACACACCATGGGGGCAGACACATGCACACCATGGGGGCAGACACATGCACACCATGGGGGCAGACACATGCACACCATGGGGGCAGACACATGCACACCACGGGGGGAGACACATGCACACCATGGGGGCAGACACATGCACACCACGGGATATCCACAAATGGAAACGGCACATATGAGAGCAGGCACGAGCCCCCTTGCACATGCCCCATTGCACATGCCCCATTGCACATGCCCCATTGCACATGCCCCATTGCACATGCCCCATTGCACATGCCCCATTGCACATGCCCCATTGCACATGCCCCATTGCACATGCCCCATTGCACATGCCCCATTGCACATGCCCCATTGCACATGCCCCATTGCACATGCCCCATTGCCCATGCCCCATTGCCCATGCCCCCTTGCACATGCCCCATTGCACATGCCCCATTGCACATGCCCCCTTGCACATGCCCCATTGCACATGCCCCATTGCACATGCCCCATTGCACATGCCCCATTGCACATGCCCCATTGCACATGCCCCATTGCACATGCCCCATTGCACATGCCCCATTGCACATGCCCCATTGCACATGCCCCATTGCACATGCCCCATTGCACATGCCCCATTGCACATGCCCCCTTCACAGGCTCACCTTGTCATACGTCTTCACAGGCTTCACCAAGCCAGCCCACCCACCTGCAGCGCGATGTGGCGGTCCATGTTCCAGCGCCTCTCCTTGAACACGAGGCCCACGAGCTTCACAAAGTCAGGGAACGACACCAGGTCGTCCTCCCCCTTCACCGCCTCCCACTGCGACCGAATCAGCCGGAAAAACGCCTGCACAAGGAGAGAGGAGCAGGAGAGGACGTTGGGAGGCTCGAAGAAGCGTGGGGAAGCATGCTGCGTGTCTCCCAATCCAAAGCCCATTTCACCACAGCAGCCCACATTGTTCCCACTTGCAAAACATCGCCTTGCTCACATTATCCAGTACTCTCTGGACCCGGGGCTGGACTTGTTGTTGGGGGCGCCTGTGATAACCAGCTTGTGTTATGGGCTGAGAGGGCGAGAGCGGGCAAGCACAAGCGGCCAGCAACGGGGAGGCAGCAGCAGAGCTCAACCCACAGCCAAGACTCACATTGTTCCAGTACTCTCTGGACCCCGGCCCCGTCTTATTGTTGGGCGAGTCGGTGACGACGAGCTTGTTGGTGTATGCTGAGAGCACTCGTGAGAAGGGGTTGCGCACGAACGTGAAGCGGAAGAGGTCCGGCCGCGTCATTGCCCGCACCTGGGAGGAGGCACGGGTGGAGAGAGAGTTCGGGTGGAGAGAGAGTTCGGGTGGAGAGAGAGTTCGGGTGGAAAGAGAGTTCGGGTGGAGAGAGCGGTGTTTGGAGGCGAAGGGGGTGTGAGAGAGAGGGGAGGAAGATATTTCTGAAAGTGGGCAGCGGACACATGGTTTGCTTGCACATGGGGGAAGGAGAGGATTGCGGCTTCTGGGCAGGTGTAAGAGGTTGAGTGAAGGCAGGTGGTAGGCGGGGAGAGGCTGAGAAGGGGCAGGTGGAAGGAAGGGTGGCGACGAGGAAGAGCAGTGCAAAGAATTGCACTTTCTTTGCCACGCGGTGGGGACGCATGCCAATCGCAAGTGCTCGCTGAACATGGGAACGTTCAGAGCGCTGATGGCAGCACTCAACACTCACGGCCTGCTTCTCGGTGAAGTGCACGTGCAACATGTGCCAGCCCGCCCTGTCATCGTCCAGTGCCAGCAGCGGGTCCTCCGGGTGCGGCTGCCCCAGCATGGCGCGCAGCCACATGAGCCACGAGTTGGCCGCCACCTTGGGTACCGTGCAGATGAATAGCTTGAGCTTCTCTGAGAGGGGCGTGGGATGCAATGGGGAGCGATGCAGAAGGAATGAGTGTGGTCCATGTAGCACCTTGTGCACCATGTAGCACCTTGTGCACCATGTAGCACCTTGTGCACCGCACACATGAATCGCTTCTCTGGTGAGCAAAGCGATGTGGGGTGGGGGAAAGAACAAGTGGGGAATAACGAGTGGGGGAAAGAACGAGTGGGGAAAAGAACGAGTGGGGGAAAAAACGAGTGGGGAAAAGAAGTCCAGTGGGGACGAGGGCCGTAAGTTTGGGAGTCGCTTTTGAGAATTCTCTCTTGAGAATCCTCAAAAGGGATTCCAGTGGGGACGAGGGCCGTAAGTAGTACCCACCTCCCGCTGTGGCCATGCTATTCACTTGGCCTGCCCACCCACCTGCCACCCACCTGCCACCCACCTGCCACCCACCTGCCACCCACCTGCCAGGGCCCTCACCTTCCACCATGGTGAACATGGACCACTTCTGCTTTGTGATTGGCCGGATCTCATGCCGCCCGCACACGGACACGTGCAGGTGGAAGGACGGCAACCGCCGGGCGGCCTGGGCGGCAATGAAGCGCGGCTCGAGAGCGCTGCTGTTCACCGCCACCAGCCCGGCTGCCAGACTCAGTGAGAAGAGCTCGGATGCCTGAGGAAGGAAGTAGAGGGGCAAGAGAGAGAGTGGGGGGGCAAGAGAGAGATTGGGGAAGAAGGCTCCACAGCGCTGCTGTTCATCGCCACCAGGACAGCTGCTAGGCTCAGCGAGAAGAGGTCGGATACCTGTGGGAAGGAGAAGTGAGGGGAGAAGAGGAGGGGCAGTGGGAACAGGAAGGGGGAGAAGAGGGAAAGGAGGCTCCACGGCGCTGCTATTGACGGCCACCAGCCCGGCTGCTAGGCTGAGAGAAAAGAGCTTCGATACCTGTGGGAGGCGGGGAAGGGAAGGGGAGGGGGAGCAGTGGAGTGGAGTGGGGGTATGAGAGGAGTGGGGGTATGAGAGGAGTGGGGGTATGAGAGGAGTGGGGGTATGAGAGGTATGAGAGGAGTGGGGGAAGGAGGGGGGAGGGCGCTGGTGTGGACCAGCGCCCCTGCTAGGCTCAACTCAAGGAGAAGAGCTCCGATACCTGGGGAAGGAGAACATGGCGGAGAAGAGGGGTGGTGTGGGGATGTAAGCTCTAAGGCGCTGCTGTTCGGCATCGTGCAAGACATGGCAAACCCACCCACAGATAAAGACACCGCATTGAACCCACCCACAGCTAGAGGCACCGCATTGAACCCACCTGCGGCTAGAGGCACCGCATTGAACCCACCTGCAGCTGATGGCACCGCATCAGAGTTTCATCCGACACCTCCAATCTCCGAACCACTCTTCTCACTCTCTTCCTCCCCAATCCTTCTCCTTCCCTCACCACCTCCCCCCCCACCACATCCTCCTCCCCACCCCCGACCCCCTTCTCCCCTCCCTCTCCCTCCTCCACCTCAACCTCCTCCTCCAGCTGACACGTGGCAACGCGCGATTGGGTGGCTTTGAGCAGCAGCGGGGAGCGGGCGGGGGGAAAGTAGTCCATGATTTGCGGCACGTGGGCGGGCGAGTGGGCGGCGAGGGTGAAGGAGACGGCACGGTCGGCCAGGTAGGTCATGGCGATGCGGCGCATGGCGCACATGGGAGGTGAATACTCCGACTCCTCGCTGCAGCCCGCACAGCCTGAGGGGCCGAGAGGCTGGCATTGGGCAGTGGGGGGTGGGGAGTGGCAGCACGTTCAGCGAGGTAGGTCATGGCGATGCGGCGCATGGCGCACATGGGAGGTGAATACTCCGACTCCTCGCTGCAGCCGGGGCAGCCCGTGGGGCCGAGGGGCTGGGGAGTGGGGAGTGGGGAAGAGGGATTGGGGAACAAGGAGTAGTGGAGAGAGCGGAGGAGGCGGGCACGAGTGAAGGGTTTGATTGGAGGAGTTGAAGTGAGATGGGCGGCGTGAGGGGAAGCTGGACTCGCTTTTGCAGCAGGAGTAGGAGCAACTCGAGGAAGGGAGGGGAGGGGCTGCCGTGGTGCGTATGCAGTGGCAGGGCGATAGAGGGCGGAGAACGGGCATGTGCAATGGAGAGCGGGCATGTGCAATGGAGAGCGGGCATGTGAAATGGAGAGCGGGCAGTGACGCGTGTGGATTGTAACTGGGAGGAATGCAAGAGGGAGCGCGATACAGCAGCCCCAGGCACCACCACAGCGTGAGCATGGATGCACACAAGGTGAGCATGGGTGCAAGGTGCAACAGTAAGCAGTTCAAGAGCAGGCGGAGCAGCAGGCAGTGCGGTGTGGTGAGTGCACGCACATCAACATAGAAGGCAGTGGAGGTGGCGAGGCGGTGCACGTCCTCCTTGAGCACCAGCGCCGCCACAAACGGCGACGGCTGCAGTGCGCCCAGACACTCGTCCACCCGCCGCTCGTACTCACACCCCTCCACCTCCACCCTCCCTTGCGCCACCCTCGCCACCCCCATGCCTTCTCCCTGGCCCCCCAGGAACAGACCCGCTCCCTCTCCCTCGCCCTCCGCCGCCTCTGCTGCAGCTCTGTGTGCTGGTGAATCGTGTGGGGTGTGGTATTCAGCAGCAGCAGAGTGGGGCGCGAGAAAGAGGTGCAGGGGAGGAGGCAGGGAGCGGGAGGAAGACCTGCCCCTGCATGGCCGCAGCACCACCTGGAGATGGGGATGGGGATGGGGATGGGGATGGGGATGGGGATGGGGATGGGGATGGGGATGGGGATGGGGATGGGGATGGGGATGGGGATGGGGATGGGGATGGGGATGGGGATGGTGATGCATGAGCGCCTAAGGACGAGCTACGAGCTAGGCGCAGCATGGCATCAGGAGTAAGGCATGGCATCAGGAGTAAGGCATGGCATCAGGAGTAAGGCATGGCATCAGGAGTAAGGCATGGCATCAGGAGTAAGGCATGGCATCAGGAGTAAGGCATGGCATCAGGAGTAAGGCATGGCATCAGGAGTAAGGCATGGCATCAGGAGTAAGGCATGGCATCAGGAGTAAGGCATGGCATCAGGAGTAAGGCATGGCATCAGGAGTAAGGCATGGCATCAGGAGTAAGGCATGGCATCAGGAGTAAGGCATGGCATCAGGAGTAAGGCATGGCATCAGGAGTAAGGCATGGCATCAGGAGTAAGGCATGGCATCAGGAGTAAGGCATGGCATCAGGAGTAAGGCATGGCATCAGGAGTAAGGCATGGCATCAGGAGTAAGGCATGGCATCAGGAGTAAGGCATGGCATCAGGAGTAAGGCATGGCATCAGGAGTAAGGCATGGCATCAGGAGTAAGGCATGGCATCAGGAGTAAGGCATGGCATCAGGAGTAAGGCATGGCATCAGGAGTAAGGCATGGCATCAGGAGTAAGGCATGGCATCAGGAGTAAGGCATGGCATCAGGAGTAAGGCATGGCATCAGGAGTAAGGCATGGCATCAGGAGTAAGGCATGGCATCAGGAGTAAGGCATGGCATCAGGAGTAAGGCATGGCATCAGGAGTAAGGCATGGCATCAGGAGTAAGGCATGGCATCAGGAGTAAGGCATGGCATCAGGAGTAAGGCATGGCATCAGGAGTAAGGCATGGCATCAGGAGTAAGGCATGGCATCAGGAGTAAGGCATGGCATCAGGAGTAAGGCATGGCATCAGGAGTAAGGCATGGCATCAGGAGTAAGGCATGGCATCAGGAGTAAGGCATGGCATCAGGAGTAAGGCATGGCATCAGGAGTAAGGCATGGCATCAGGAGTAAGGCATGGCATCAGGAGTAAGGCATGGCATCAGGAGTAAGGCATGGCATCAGGAGTAAGGCATGGCATCAGGAGTAAGGCATGGCATCAGGAGTAAGGCATGGCATCAGGAGTAAGGCATGGCATCAGGAGTAAGGCATGGCATCAGGAGTAAGGCATGGCATCAGGAGTAAGGCATGGCATCAGGAGTAAGGCATGGCATCAGGAGTAAGGCATGGCATCAGGAGTAAGGCATGGCATCAGGAGTAAGGCATGGCATCAGGAGTAAGGCATGGCATCAGGAGTAAGGCATGGCATCAGGAGTAAGGCATGGCATCAGGAGTAAGGCATGGCATCAGGAGTAAGGCATGGCATCAGGAGTAAGGCATGGCATCAGGAGTAAGGCATGGCATCAGGAGTAAGGCATGGCATCAGGAGTAAGGCATGGCATCAGGAGTAAGGCATGGCATCAGGAGTAAGGCATGGCATCAGGAGTAAGGCATGGCATCAGGAGTAAGGCATGGCATCAGGAGTAAGGCATGGCATCAGGAGTAAGGCATGGCATCAGGAGTAAGGCATGGCATCAGGAGTAAGGCATGGCATCAGGAGTAAGGCATGGCATCAGGAGTAAGGCATGGCATCAGGAGTAAGGCATGGCATCAGGAGTAAGGCATGGCATCAGGAGTAAGGCATGGCATCAGGAGTAAGGCATGGCATCAGGAGTAAGGCATGGCATCAGGAGTAAGGCATGGCATCAGGAGTAAGGCATGGCATCAGGAGTAAGGCATGGCATCAGGAGTAAGGCATGGCATCAGGAGTAAGGCATGGCATCAGGAGTAAGGCATGGCATCAGGAGTAAGGCATGGCATCAGGAGTAAGGCATGGCATCAGGAGTAAGGCATGGCATCAGGAGTAAGGCATGGCATCAGGAGTAAGGCATGGCATCAGGAGTAAGGCATGGCATCAGGAGTAAGGCATGGCATCAGGAGTAAGGCATGGCATCAGGAGTAAGGCATGGCATCAGGAGTAAGGCATGGCATCAGGAGTAAGGCATGGCATCAGGAGTAAGGCATGGCATCAGGAGTAAGGCATGGCATCAGGAGTAAGGCATGGCATCAGGAGTAAGGCATGGCATCAGGAGTAAGGCATGGCATCAGGAGTAAGGCATGGCATCAGGAGTAAGGCATGGCATCAGGAGTAAGGCATGGCATCAGGAGTAAGGCATGGCATCAGGAGTAAGGCATGGCATCAGGAGTAAGGCATGGCATCAGGAGTAAGGCATGGCATCAGGAGTAAGGCATGGCATCAGGAGTAAGGCATGGCATCAGGAGTAAGGCATGGCATCAGGAGTAAGGCATGGCATCAGGAGTAAGGCATGGCATCAGGAGTAAGGCATGGCATCAGGAGTAAGGCATGGCATCAGGAGTAAGGCATGGCATCAGGAGTAAGGCATGGCATCAGGAGTAAGGCATGGCATCAGGAGTAAGGCATGGCATCAGGAGTAAGGCATGGCATCAGGAGTAAGGCATGGCATCAGGAGTAAGGCATGGCATCAGGAGTAAGGCATGGCATCAGGAGTAAGGCATGGCATCAGGAGTAAGGCATGGCATCAGGAGTAAGGCATGGCATCAGGAGTAAGGCATGGCATCAGGAGTAAGGCATGGCATCAGGAGTAAGGCATGGCATCAGGAGTAAGGCATGGCATCAGGAGTAAGGCATGGCATCAGGAGTAAGGCATGGCATCAGGAGTAAGGCATGGCATCAGGAGTAAGGCATGGCATCAGGAGTAAGGCATGGCATCAGGAGTAAGGCATGGCATCAGGAGTAAGGCATGGCATCAGGAGTAAGGCATGGCATCAGGAGTAAGGCATGGCATCAGGAGTAAGGCATGGCATCAGGAGTAAGGCATGGCATCAGGAGTAAGGCATGGCATCAGGAGTAAGGCATGGCATCAGGAGTAAGGCATGGCATCAGGAGTAAGGCATGGCATCAGGAGTAAGGCATGGCATCAGGAGTAAGGCATGGCATCAGGAGTAAGGCATGGCATCAGGAGTAAGGCATGGCATCAGGAGTAAGGCATGGCATCAGGAGTAAGGCATGGCATCAGGAGTAAGGCATGGCATCAGGAGTAAGGCATGGCATCAGGAGTAAGGCATGGCATCAGGAGTAAGGCATGGCATCAGGAGCAAGGTTCAAAATTACGGTTTTCGTAAAATACGGTCCGTTTTTTACGGTCGTTTTTTACGGTGATTTTTCAAAAAAACGGCCGTTTTTTTGTTAGAGAACTCTGTTCACCAAGAAAAAAAAAGAGAAAAACAAGGTCAAAAACATTTTCAATCATGGCAACAAGCGCATACATGCAAGAAGGGGTCCGTCCCCTTCATGCTGCTGTGTTTCAGGTTCAATTTGGTCCCACTAAGTGGCAGTTTTGTTAGTTAAGAGGAAACACCTCCTGGAACCGTTTTAAACCGTTTTTTACGACCGTTTTTTACGGTACCGTTTTTTACGGTAAAATTTCAATAAAACGGTCGTTTTTTTGAACCCTGATCAGGAGTAAGGCATGGCATCAGGAGTAAGGCATGGCATCAGGAGTAAGGCATGGCATCAGGAGTAAGGCATGGCATCAGGAGTAAGGCATGGCATCAGGAGTAAGGCATGGCATCAGGAGTAAGGCATGGCATCAGGAGTAAGGCATGGCATCAGGAGTAAGGCATGGCATCAGGAGTAAGGCATGGCATCAGGAGTAAGGCATGGCATCAGGAGTAAGGCATGGCATCAGGAGTAAGGCATGGCATCAGGAGTAAGGCATGGCATCAGGAGTAAGGCATGGCATCAGGAGTAAGGCATGGCATCAGGAGTAAGGCATGGCATCAGGAGTAAGGCATGGCATCAGGAGTAAGGCATGGCATCAGGAGTAAGGCATGGCATCAGGAGTAAGGCATGGCATCAGGAGTAAGGCATGGCATCAGGAGTAAGGCATGGCATCAGGAGTAAGGCATGGCATCAGGAGTAAGGCATGGCATCAGGAGTAAGGCATGGCATCAGGAGTAAGGCATGGCATCAGGAGTAAGGCATGGCATCAGGAGTAAGGCATGGCATCAGGAGTAAGGCATGGCATCAGGAGTAAGGCATGGCATCAGGAGTAAGGCATGGCATCAGGAGTAGTGGAAAATAGGAACACAGGCACTGCCCTCTCACCCGCACAGCCCTCTCACCCGCACCGCTCGCTCCGCACCGCCCTCATGCCTCACCTGCTGCTGCGGCGTGGAGGCCAGTTGCGCCTTCAGCGCGTCGCTGCGCACAGGCAGGTCGCGCACCCACACCCCGCCGTTCCCCCCGCTCACTCCCCACCCCTCCGCCCCATCCCCTCCGCTGCTGCTGCTGTGGCTGCTGTTGGGCGCGGGGGGCGCGGAGAAGAGGTGGCGGAAGGTGGTGGCGGGCAGGTGGCGGTCGGCGGGCCAGAGGGCGAGCGTGGGCGCGCCAGTGAGCGCCGTCACTGCGTACGCCGCGCACACCGCGTGCACGCGCTCCGATAGAGAGCCCTGGGGAGGTGGGGAGAGGGGGGGGGAGAGGAGAGGGGAAGGACGGGACCGGGGGGAGGAGAAGGGATGCGAAAGAGAAGGGGGAGGAGAGGGATGGGGGGGAGGGGGAAGAGGGAACGAGGGGGGTGAGGGAAGGGTGTGAGGGGGGGGGAATCTGATGAGAAGAGAATGAGCGTGAGTATGTGGTGGTGAAGCGAAGTCCGCATGGCCCTACACTGCATGCACGCGCTTCTGCAGCGCGCCTTGGGAAAGGGGGAGGAGGGGGAAGAGAGGGAGTGCGGGGGGAAGGTGGGGCGGAAGAGGAGAGGGTATAGAAGAAGGCGAGCGACGAAATTAGGGGCCAGAGCGTATGACACGCTGGGGCACTGGCACCAGCACGCGCGCTGCACGCACACGCGTTGGCAGAGAGCCCTGGGAAGAAAGGGCGAAGCGGGGAGGGAGTGGTGGGAGCGAACGGGAAGGGGTGGAGGAAGGTTAAGAGAGAGGGGTCAGCGGAGAGAAGGGGAGATAAGGAAGTAAATGATGCGGGGAGGGGGAGAGTGGGGGAGGAGGGATGAGAAAGGATGGACGGGGTTGGCAGATGACGGGCGGCGGATGTTAGGGGACGGCACTACAGCGCAGCGCGCACCACAGCGCAGCGCGCACCTCTGCAAGAATCAGTGCGGCGGCATCGCCGCATTCGTTTCTCCCACTGCCGTCCGCGCACCTCCACAGATCCATCTCGCTCGCCCTCCCGCCGTCCCCGATATGCGCGTCTTCGCTACCATCTGCAAGATACCCACTCAATTCCCCGGTCTCGCCGCTCGCTTTCCACAAATCCGCGATTTTCTGCGACGCTTTGAGCAGCGCCTTTCCGTTGAGAACCGTGAAGTCGCTTTTGTCGCGCGACAGGCTCCAGTGCGACAGCCCCGCGACTGTTGCGACGACGAGGAGCAGCGGCGGGAGCAGCAATTGCAAGAGGCGAGGCCGCTCGCCGCTGCCGTGCGTCTTCCGCTTGCCGAGCGTGATCGTGTGAGTCATTGGCAGGAAGACTGCGCGACGCGCATGCGACGCGTGTGCGACGTGTGTCCGACTCGTCAGCGACGCGAGGTATGCCTATGCAAGTACGAGATTGGGCTCCTGACGACAGTAGCAGGCGGATCTTTCGTCGTGATGTCGGCAAACAAGGCGGCTACTCCGCGATGAGAACGCTGATGGGGAACACTCGTGCATTAAAAGTGTCTCACTGACTGTTGAACGTGCTGGATGCGACGCGTTCGGTACAGAGCTCTAATCGCCACCACCACCACTGAGGCACTCGCGAGCGGTGTTGGGATTCGGACTCGATTCGGATTCGGACGCTCCGCGGTCGGGAGCAAGGCACGCGGGCGGTCTGAAAGTGTCTGAAAGCGTTTACCCTAAAGTGCTACCTGATCCTGCGCATGTAACGGTCGTAATTGCTGAGCTCAACGGAGTGCGACGTCTTTGTCCCTCGCGCCGACTTGTTCCACATTGTGACAAAAATACCTTCCGCACCCGCACATAAAAAGCCTACACCCATGCTTCTGACAGCCGAGATAGATGCAATCTTGACTTCTAAGTTCGCCAGCCCACACTTAGTTTCCCCCGCTTCTGAAGGCGGCCATTTCGCTATCTCTAGACCCTTGAAGCCGCTGACATCATCACTTAACCAGACCAGACCGAAGCTTTGCTTGTTTGATGGCGGGGGAGGATGGACGAGATGATTGGTGGTGGAAGGTTTGGAAGGGATGAAACATGAGGCAGCTTTTGAAGGCGCTTCGCATTTCTCTATGCGGGGCGGCGGGTCAACCTGGTCTGGTCTGCGGGGAGGAGAATCTTGGCTTGGGGCTTGATTGGAGGAGGGCGGGGGGCGGCCTGACAGGGGCGGGGGCGGGGGCGCGCAGGGGCCTGTCTCGGGGATGTTGGCGCTTGGTGTGGGGCACGGATATTGTGGTCCATCGCAGGGAGGCTCGTCTGGCGACGACAAAACCCAGACCACCTTGGTTCTGCTTTAGGGCGTAGGCCCAAACAGGTTTGATCGCCTCGTTCAGCGACGATCCATAATTTCCAGGAAGCCTGGAAGCCAAATTCAGGCAATCAGGGGCAATCAGCTGATCGCGATCAGCTGCTCGCCCAACCTCGATCAGACCCGATTTTCACCCCGATCAGAGTCGATTTTCCTCGATCACAGGCAATCAATTGATTGCTTGTGATCGGGGCACCTAGCGACGCTTGCGAGTAGTTACACTGTTGCATTTACAGCGAAACGAATATTTCCGCCAGGTGAAGCCTGGTCGTCAATCTCGCTAAAATGGTGACGAGCATGCCACGCAAATGTATCACGCTTGCTGAGCAGGCGCTGACAACCTTCTCCGAAAATCATTTATGATCGGGCAGCTCGGGCAGTACGATCACAAGCAAGCCGATCAGATCCAACCCGAACAGACCCGTTTGGGCCCACGCCCTTAGAACTCACCGAATTCCCATGGTTGTCTCGCCCCGAACCGTCGGCGCGACACCAAGCCTGGCAGGCATGACACCGGAGCAACTCGTTCTGACAAAAGTTGTAAATTCGCAAGTCTGATTGATTGCGGTGTGTGAATGTGCGTACACTTGATACTCATTAAGTGCATGCAACCTTAACACCACTTCATTTTTTTTAAATAATTAATGAATAGTATACACCGAGATAGGCAAGTGCATACAATCAAAACGGTCGTAACCGCGCTTGAGGAGACAGCAGGGTGCTGTTCCAGATGAGACACCTAGGGCCGGATGTTGCTCGCCCTCCGCTTGGACCACAGTGCAGCCAAATCACTTGTCCACTTCCAGCTTTTGCCAGCCAGTTTGATTCTCCCCTACATATTCTGCTCTTCTGCCAGGTTGCGGTGTTGTCGTTTACCCGCACAGCTCCGAATCTGCGGGTGAAGATGCATGCATGTTGCCTGAATGCGAACTCGATTTTTGTAGAGGACACGTCGCGTGCGGAACTTCTGCCCCCGGAACACTGCTTCACACCTCTCAACCCAAAGCTGATGGAAGGCGATGGATGTGAGAGTGAGTCCAGGGAATGCCGAGCTGGATCCTGTTTTTCGGAACAGAAGGTCACCGAGAGTGGCTGTTGAACGGTTAGGATTGAACATGCGTAGGGCCAGACGAAGGGCCGACGAAACTGCCTGAATCCGAGGACAGATGAGGAGGCAGTGTTCTAATGCCTCTGGTTCTCCACGGTACGGGCAGGACGGTTTGCTGCTGAGGAAAGCAAGCCGTTCTCCCGCTTGTAGATTGAGACCGTGGATGCGGACAAGCACGTCACGTGGACGGCTGGGCACCGCCAGCGAGTCGCTCGTCCACACCACCCTTTTCCAGTCAATTTTCCTGCCCCATCTTTCTGGCCACTTCTCCCGCTTCTTTGACTCCTGGTACCTCCCCTTCCAGCGGTCTTTCATCCTCCTCAGAGAGATCACCTGCCCGTCCTCCAAGACAGTCAAAGGGGGTGTTGAGTCAGCCGAGCACAGAGGGACTGTGGGAAAACCCAGCAACCTCATCCAGTGTGCCAGCATTGCTGCAAAAGCCTTTAGCACTAGCCTAGCCTGTGCGCTGCCTCCAAGCTGCCCGCGCCAGCTCCTTCGACTGCTTCAGCGAGAGCTCCCCGTCATCCCCGAGCACCAGGATATCTTTGATGCGAACCTCCCAAAGATCTTTGCTGTATTTCTGCCCCCCGATTGGCGTTGATAACAAGACCTCTTTGTTGAAAACCACCCGCTCATGCAGCACCGCTTCCCTTCCCAGCTGTCCGCTGCCGGGCGGACACAAAACGTGAGCGAATAAAATTTTCGCATGTCTATTTCCATCTCATACTGCGCCCCTTCAAGTGTTTCAGTAGCTTCACGTGCGAGGAGAAGGTGTCAGCTCCCAGTGGTAACTCAGCGGCCTGCTCCATGATCTCCCTCTTGAGCGGGTCCTGTTTTGTGAGGTAGAGACCTACCCTCCTCGCGGCGAGACACGGGAGTACAATCTCCGGGTCCTTAACCCGATGTCGCCCGCCTCTTGGGGGTGTAAAGCAGCTCTCTGCTCCAGAGAAAAAAGCCTTTCGCCGATGCCACACTGTTCCCCGAGGTAAAGCTTTGCAGTAAGCAGACTATCTCCTCCCATATCTCCGCCGGCGGTGGGTAGATTTGAGCTTAAAAAGCTAAGAGCGGGGTGATGTAGAAGTTAACCATTGTAGCTCTTGCCGTGATCGTCAAATATTTCTGCTGCCATTTCGTTAATTTCTCCGAGATGTGTCCCCACGCCTTTTCCCATGTTGGCAGGCCATTCCCTGATGGGGTTACCCAGATACCCAGCAAGCGCTCTACTTCATTGGCTCCTGCCCATTTGAAACAGCTCGAGCCATCCCCTTCCGCGTTCAGGTTCGTACCTATAGGTAACACCACCGACTTCGATTTATTTGTCGCCAGCCCAGATGCTTTCTTCTCGAATCGGTCTAAACTACACCTCCTCTGCCGCTGCTATCTGCTTCCGCTCCTTGCAGGGTCAATGTCATATCATCCGCGTAACCCAGATAGTTCAGCCTTCCCTTTCTTTTCAATACCAAGCTTCCGCTTTTCAACCTCCCGCGCCAACGGTTCCACAGCGCAAAGGAAGAGGTGAGGCGCCAATGGGCAGCCTTGCCTTACTTCCGACGCCACTTCCACTCCTTTGCCAACCCAGCCGTTAAACAACAACTTTGTTTATGTCCTCCTTATGCAGGCCCCTTATCCAGCACCTCGAACAAGAAGTCGCGAAATACCGAGTCGAAAGCTTTTTGAAAATCGACCAGAATCAAGTACCAGTCTTCGGACCCGTTCGCGGCTCCGTCAATCACGTCTGCTACCAAAGCCACCGCGTCTGACAGCCTCCTCCTCGGGATGAAACCGTACTGCTCCGAGGAGATGATCAAGTGTAGTATCGACTGCGGAGATAACTCTGTCAACGGGAGCTAGACTACGGGCTAGGCACGGGGTAGGAGTGATCTCTGCGTTCGTTCGTTCCTTAGTCGTTTCCTTGTGCGCACACTACTTGCTAGTTCACGGGGAGAATTGGCAAGAGTTCCACTAGCAAAAGTTCACAACAATGGTTGATACGACATTGGCAACACAGACTACATCAGAGCTAGCTAGGCTGCTGGTCGACCTCCAGCGCAGCATGGTCGACCGCGATCCAGCGCAGCAGAGCTCGCACCGCTCCAGCGTTGCAGAGTAGCGATTTGCCAACGTTGCAAGTCCACGGTGTGCCAACGCTGCAGCAAGTCGGCTGCATAGCGTTGCACCCGCAGGACAACGGTGCACCTGCTTCGTAGGTGCGTGCAGCTGGTTGGTTCACCACTCCTTGTCACGTGCACAGCGCAGACGCCCAGGTCGGCGTCCAGGCACCCAGGGCGCTGTCCAAACGCTCCAGGTCGGCGTCCAGGCGCCCAGGACGCCGTCCTGACTCCTAGGTCGGCGTCCAGCCTCCCAGGACGCCGTCCAGAGGCCCAGGTCGACGTCCTCCAGCTCGGCGCCCTCCAGCTAGGCGCCCTCCAGCTAGGCGCCCTCACTGCAACAGCCGACTTCGTAGTCGGGTGTGTGGGGAGCGCAGAAAAACTGATGTAGAAAAACTGATCGTCATTCTTAATAAGCGATGTAGTAGAGATGTTAGCAATGCTTGTTGTAAAAGACCACATCGCGAAAATGGCAAGTGCCGAAAGTCACAAAAAAGTGCTCGAAATGTGACTTTTATGTGACAGCAAGTCCGGCGTTTTTTAGTCATGGTTGAAAGTACCGGCCACGATGTTCCCTGCGTTGTCACGGAAATGTCACGTAAATGTGACATAATGTCACACAGAATGTCACAGTAGAGTGTCTGGTGAAGCGACTTTCTCGTCACTTTTATGTAACCTTGCCACGTGTCGTATATGCCAAGATATTTTGCCACGTGTCATTGTCGTTGATTGGTGGATATGAACCAATCAAACCTCGGGGACGTGGGTGCAGAAATGT